AAAAAAAAAAAAAAAAAAAAGGAAAGTTGATTTGAGACTATTTATCATCTTTATCTTCCCCATTGAATGTGGCTGCTTCCCTGCAGGGATATCGTGAGCTTGTTACAAGATATTCCTAAGGTATAATGTACCATATAGCATGTGGACATCCTGTTACCTTGGGGCCCTATGCTAGAATTTTTCAAGAAAAACCAGACAAGGGCTCTGGCCCCTTCAGTCTCCCTACCAGCTGCCAGAATGATGCTGCCAAAACACACACCTTGTCAGGTCACCCCTTGCCAACTCCCAAGGCTCCTCTTGCTCGTAGAAAGATGTCCCGGGTCATTGCCGAGTCCTTCCTGGGAGCTCACCCCTGCCCTTCTTGCCACATCTCCCACCTCACTCTGCTTTAGACCCCTGGGCCTTCCCCTAGTTCTTCAAATATGGCAAGGTGGTTCCTACCTCAGGGCCTTTGGACATGCTATTCCCTCTGTCAGAAACACTTTCTGCACCAGATTTCAGTTCAAATGTCACGTCCTCAGGGAAGGCTTCCCTATTCCCAGATGAGGTCAGGCCCAAGGATTCTCCCTGGAGCCTCTTATCACCCTCATAGTGACTCATTGTGGGGGGTCTGTCACTTAAAGTGGAAATGCTGTGGTGGCGATGGCTTGGTGGCTTTGATCCCTGCTGTTTTCCAGTGCCTGGCACCAGAGAAGCCTCAAGCTTGCTAATTGAAAGCCCTCAAAATGCTATCAGTCCCAGGAAGGAGGCAGACACATAATTAAAGCCTCTGTCCTGCCCCAAGTGGCTCTGCTGGGGCTCTGTGCAGTTGGTAACCAGGAGAAAGAGAGTTGAGTTTCAACCAGGAGACTCCAGGAAGACTTCCTAAAGGAGGAGGTGTTTGGGTTAGCCCAGTGGTTTTCAGATAGGAGTGACTTCCTCCCATGAGACATTTGGTAGTATCTGGAGACACTCTGATTGTCCAGCTGGGGAGAGGATGCTACTGGCATCTGGTGGTCAGAGGCCAGGGATGCTGCTAAACATCCTACGATGCACAGGACAGCTCCCCTGCGGCCCCTCCCAGCAAAGAATCATCCACACCAACATGTCAGCAGTGCAGAGGCTGAGAAAGCCTGTCCTAGACAGGACGTGGAGTATGAACAAATGCCCAGAAGCTGGCCATGCAGAGTGTGCCAGGGCCAATATGGCTGAAATCAGGGGTGAGGAGTGTTATCATGGTGGGGGAGATGGGGTTCGAAATTCCTCAAATATCAGCTCTCAGGATCACCAGAACTGTATGAATCCACCACTAGGGAGTTTACCTCAGGCCCAGCCCCTACCCCCACCCCCAGCAGTGGTTGAAACAGGACTTGGCATCTCTCTGCAGGGAGCTGGACAGCCTTGTCCAATCCTCACAATACTGCAAGGGCGAGAACCACCGGCACTTTGAAGGAGGAGTGAAGCTGGGTGTGGGGGCCTTCAACCTGGTGAGTGGGAGTGCCCCTCCCCCATTTCCACAGCGCCTGGCTCAAGCTGTCTCCCCTTCTGTCCCTGACTCAGATGTGGTCAATGCCTACTGTCCCTGCGCCTGGCCGTGTGCCAGGCACCAGGATCCAGAGGTGATCAGACGTGTGGCCAGCCTTCAGGGACTCACAGCTGGGGTGGGGGTGGTGTGGGCACTGGAGCCAGCTCCAGAGAGTCCATCGGTCCATTTCTTCCAAAGTCAGGCCAGTAGCTTGAAATCCACCCTAGTGGAGCCTTCACAGCACCTGACCTTGGCACACACAATAAATCAGGGCTTTCTCTGCCCTGGAGAGCTGCTGGTTAAACATTTACCAGTGGCAGGGAAGGAGACAGTCCTGAAACCAGCTGATGACTTAGTGGGGCCAGAGAACTAAGTCTTCCTTCTGGAAGTTGGGGAAGGTTTCCCACAGGACGGGGCAAGCATCTATGCTGGCTCCTGAGGGATTCCTAGGAGTTTCCCAGCTGGGGAGGGGCTTCTAGCCAGAGGGAGCAGGAAGACTGGGAAAACTGCACCAGATCAAGGGAGGAGGAGCTTCCCAGGGAAGATTTAGCCTCAGGGCCCTAGGTGGCCAGGGGCCTTTTCAAAGGTAGGGGGGTGGCCCTCTCTCCTCCAGGTAAAGCCTGTTAAAGAGTAAGCCTTGGGACAGTGGCGGTGTCCCCTGCCTCCTCTGGGGTACTTTCACATGCTTGACTGCCTCCTTTCTTGCAGACACTGTCCATGCTTCCTACTAGGATCCTGAGGCTGCTGGAGTTTGTGGGGTTTTCAGGAAACAAGGTAACCACCTGCCTTCTAGCACCCCTGACCTGCTCAGCCCCAGAATTGGGGCTGGGCTGGACAGGGTGGGGCTGACAGACTTCAGGGTTTAGGTGCCCGTCCTGGCTCATCCCCTCTTATTGTGTGGCCCTGGACAAAGCCCAGAACTCCCTGGGCCTCGGTCTTCTCTTTGGGCGAATGGGGCTGGTGATCCCTACCTCACCCTCCCAGGGTGCAGAGGCTCTGGGTGGGGATGGGTGTGAAGGGCAGCTCCATGCAGTGACCCAGGGTCACACATTCTCTGAGCCTGACAGTTGTCAGGGGCTGGTTCCTCTCCCCTCAAATACTGCCTCACTTCAAAACTTTGAGCAAGTCCTTCCTCCAGGGACCATTTTCTGGTGCTACCACTTGATCAAGCAGATGTCCGAGGGAAGCCCTACTGGGCATCAAACCTTGAGGAGGAACCAGAGAACTCAAGCACCCAGAGGCTTTACTGAGGGCAAGAACCTGAGTACCAGACCCGGGTTGAAGGCAGCAGATCAGGGAGGGCTTGCTGGTAGAGGAGGCCTGGTGTGGTAGAAGGAACACTCACCTGGAAGTTAGGTGCTCTGGGCCGGTCCAGCCTCATCCCCTTTTCTCTGTGACTCTGAGCAAGTCCCTCCTTCCTCTGAGCCTCTTTTTAGTAAAACAAGGGCATTTTTTAGGGACCAGATAAGTGTTTCTCAGATGTGCACCGGCCTTTCCTGATATGTGCTCCACAGACCTCTCTATTATAATTTATGTATTTTCTCAAGTGACTCATAACTTTTACTGAAATTGATTTAAAGGAAACATCTCTATAGAAACCTCCATATTCTTTGGCATGATAAGAACGTAATCATAAAAATAAATTCCATGAGGGCCCAGCCATCTTTTGCAAGCCCTGCTACTGTGTGGCGGGCTAGGGCTCCTCCAGGACTGCCTCTTTCTGAAAAAGGGGGCTCAGGGTGAGAGAGTCTGTACCCCACGAGCAAAGGACTGGGCTTTCTCCTGGGCACCACCAAAGGATAGAAAGAGAACTGAGAAGGGAAAACCTTCACTGTGACTCAGTGTTTCCTGGCGCCTGCCCATGGAGCCCTAAAATCTTAGCTGCCATCTGCTGCCCGAGCCTTGGAAAAGATTGGCTAGAGGCTGTGAAGGTCACTTTCAGTTTTTCTCCTTAAGAAAGCCTTTGGGTCACGAGTAGGATTTCAGGATGATGAAGGGAGGGCCCAGAGGTGAGGCAGTGTGGCCTGGCCAGGCGGGTTGGGGGACCTACTGTGCTAGCCTGGGCTTCAGCTTTATCTCGAAGGCAGGGGAGCCACAGAAGGTTTGACGCAGGAGTGAGGCAGGTCAGATTTGTGTTTTAGAAAGAGCAAAAATGCTCTGGAGGACAGACAGAGGGGCAGAGACTGCAGGCAAGGAAACAAGGCGGGGTCTGCCCCCAGCCCCTCCCCAGCCAGGCTCTGGAGGCTTCTCCCACAGGAAGCTTTCCCACCGCCCCACCTGAGCCCATGGCTGGGATCATCTGCCTTCCTGTCTCCTGCTCCCAACAAGACCTGTGCTGCTCAGGCCCTCAGGACCCATTGCAGGGCACCCATGACTACAGGGAGGGTGGGGAAGAGGCTGTGGAGAAGGCAGGGGACACCTGAGGCCCATCAAGCCTTTGTCCTGGCCTTGGCAGCCATGGCCCCTTGCCCCAGGAATGCACGGGGGCACTGAGGGGCAACCCCTTGCTCAGGGGCACACAGCTGACCCAGCCTCCAGGGCTCCGGTGCTCTCCCGCCCCTGTGCTGGCAGCATTGTCCTCACAGCTGGCCAACCACCTCCCAGCCCCCTGCCCTCTCTGGGAGCCTCACTCGCCCTCCCGTTCCCCTAGGACTACGGGCTGCTGCAGCTGGAGGAGGGTGCGTCGGGCCACAGCTTCCGCGCCGTGCTGTGTGTCATGCTCCTGCTGTGCTACCACACCTTCCTCACCTTCGTGCTCGGTAGGCCTCCTGCACAGGGGGCCCTGGGGCCCTGGGGTTTGGTCGTCTCCAAGGGCAAAGGGGCAGGAGAGTCAGGGGCTGCAGACCCTGCCCACACCCCTGGTGCTGGAGATAGGGGTGCTGAAACCAGAAACACAGAGCCACATCAACCGTCCCGGGGACTGGCCTGCTGATGCCCACTGCCTCACAGTGTGACGGGGTTCCAGCCTCAGTTTTCTCATCTGTGAAATGGGGGTGGTTGTGCCCTCCTTGTGGAGGGTGTGAAGACTCAGTGTACAGTGTCTTATGGTGTGGTCGCAGCCTCGGTGGGCGCGGGCTCCTGGTTATCGAGCTCTGTCAAGTGCTGGGGGCAATATCTGCACTGCCTTACTTAAACCTCACGTCACCCTAGGGACAGGGAAATTATCCCTATTTCACAGAGGGAAACGGGGAGACCCTGGGAAGCCCCTGCTGGGTTGCTGGCAGGATGACAGAGCCAGGGGGTGGTAACACGTTCTGTGTCTCCCCTACCACCACCACCTCCAGGTACCGGGAATGTCAACATCGAGGAGGCTGAGAAGCTTTTGAAGCCCTACCTGAACCGGTACCCTAAGGTGAGCCCCATGCACTGCCTGGTACCCCCAGCGCACAAACACCCACAGACGCACACAGACCCACATGTATGTCATTGCAGGGTGCCATCTTCCTGTTCTTTTCAGGGCGGATTGAAGTCATTAAAGGCAACATTGACGCAGTGAGTGATGGGGGTCCAGGCCGGGGCTAGGCATTGCTCGGGGTCTTCCAGGCCAGCAGTAAGTCAGGCACACATGACATAGTCAGGGACAGGACAGACTGGAAGGGGATCCCCAAGAGAGAACCAGCCGGAGAACAGGGGCGGGAGAGGCCCTTCTGACAGAGCAGCCTAGGAACACGAGGGAGAAGGAGGTGTTTGTAGTGAGGGAGATAGTGGACTGCAGCATTCCCGTGGAGGGAGGCGCTGGAGGGAGGCTGGGGTAGGAAAGTCCGCCTGTTCAGGGCATGGTGATTAGGCTGGAGTCTGCTATCTCCCCTCCATTACAGCTCTGACCTGCTCTTCTATTTTGTTACTAAAAACCAGAGTTCCAGGCAGGGGCTGTATTTGGGCCCAAGGTCATATAAGACTCAGGAGGCAGAACCAGGACTAGAGGCCAGATCTCCTGGCTCCCCAGCCCCTGCCTGTGCCTAGCACAGGGCTGGACCACCATGTCCTGGAGGAGGCCCAGTTGGCTGTGGTGGCTGTGGTGTTGGGAGGTTCGGAGGATGCAGAGGGTAAGGCAGGATGGCACTGGGTGGGCACCCATCAGGCTGACCAGCAGGTACCCGCAGGCCGTCCGGCGTTTCGAGGAGTGCTGTGAGGCCCAGCAGCACTGGAAGCAGTTCCACCACATGTGCTACTGGGAGCTGATGTGGTGCTTCACCTACAAGGGCCAGTGGAAGATGTCCTACTTCTACGCCGACCTGCTCAGCAAGGAGAACTGCTGGTCCAAGGTGGGCTGATGCCACGTGTTAGGGGCATTGGGTGACCAAGGCTGACCGGGTGCCTCTGGACCACGAGCCAAATCCCTGACTAAACACAGATGTCTCAGCTGGAATCTAAATATAACCATAAATTCTAATAGGACTCAGGGTTGGAAGGAACTAAAGACCACAAGAGAAACTTCTGAACCACAATGTGTCAGTTGAGATTTCTAGTCACACAGGACTGAAACGTGGCTCCCTCTGTCTGACAGAACTGTCTCTGTGGTAGAAATGTTCTACTTCTGCACTGCCCATATATGGTAGTCACCAGCCACATGTACACACTGAGCACGTGAAATGTGCCTAGTGCAGTTGGGAAACTGAATGTTTTAAGTTTTATTTAATTTTAATTAATTAAATTTTAAATAGCCATGTGGGGCTTGTGGCCACCATATTGGACTATGCAGGTCTAAAACACAAAAGGCTCCTATTACTGAAAATTCTTGGCACCTCCGACTTCAGGTAGGGCTGGATCCAGAAATTCACATTATGTCATCTGGCTTGGTCTTTCCATCTGTGGCTGTGCTCTCTTCTATGACATCTTTTTTCAGGAAGGTTCTCTCCATGTGACAGGCAAGGTGGCCCTGGGCTGCTTCTACTCACGTCCTGTCCTTGATTTCAACCAGAGTCCCACAATTGAGCCTCATTGGTCTGACTTAAATTACATGGCAATGCCTGGAACAGAGGGGTGGGAAGATTCCTCATAGGCTGAGAGTAGGAGAGGGGTGGTTTCACAGAAGGAAATGTACCCAGAAATAGTGGGGGGAGGGGATTAATGAGGTACCATGTAGGCAAAACAAAACCAAACAGATGCCTGCCCACCGAAGATGAAATTTACCAACGTAAGTATTGAAATAACTTTTAGCTTGTGCCATCATAGTAATAATAGTGCAAAATTGGAACCAAGAGTCTTAGAACCATCTAGCTCAGCAAGTGTCTAATCCATTATTTGTAAATACACAACACATGTGTCTTCATGGCTTCATTCCACATAACAGACATTGCTAATCAATCCTCTGCCATGAGTCTGGCTGTGACCTTAGATGCCTTCCCTGCAGAGCTCTAGGCAGCCATTAGAACGGACCCACACTGGCACCTGTTAGGAAACCTGTCATCTGCATCTGGTCCCTCCCCCTCCTCTACATGGAGGTCTCTTTTCAGTAGCCCTGACTGGGGACGACCTGAAGGAGAATTCTCTGGGTTTGGGGTAGGTGGGGCTGAGGGAGGGAGCAGGTTTCTACTGAGCTCTCACCATGTGTCTGGCACCTGTCCTGTCCTGCACACCACACCCAGTGAGGAGCAGTTATCTGCATTGGGCACATGAGGGCCACTGAGGCTAAGAGAGGACTGTGACTTTCCCGCCGACATGGCTGTTGGTGACAGACACTGGATTTGAGGACAGTCCTGTGTGACTCAGAGGCCTCTGCTTCTCCTTTGCTCCTGGAGTCCTCCTGAGGAGGCGGGCCTGCCCTCAGCCCACCTGCTGTCGGTGCTTCCTCAGGCCCGGCTCCATGGCCTCTGCATCCCCTCCTCATCACCTCCCACTCCCAACAAGACCAAAGCCTCAGGGAACCTTTTTTCTTTTTTTAGATACAGGGTCTTGCTATGTTGGTCAGGCTGGTCTTGAACTCCTGGGCCCAAGCAATCTTCGCACCTCTGCCTCCTAAAGTGCTGGGATTCTGGGCCTTGGGAAACCTTTTTTGACTGAAGGTGACTCTCAAAGTCTTCCTGTAGAGTCAGGTTGGGCAGCTGAGTCTAACCTCATGGGGAAGGGGAGACCTGGAGGGGACACACAGCTGCTGTGAGGAACAGAAGGCGGGCCGGGCCACTCAGCTGTCAGGAAGTCTGGCTCAGTCCCCTGCCTGCTGTGTGACTTTGGGGTGGCCAGTCCCGCTCTCTCTGCAACACTCTGCTCACAAGGACTTCCTGTGAAAAGTTTGGGTTGTAACACTCTGAGTTCTGGGGCCCCACCCATTCCTAATCTCCAGAACTTGGCCACCAGAGTCCACCAACTTCCAGTCCTGGGGCCTGGGCCTCTGGCCATTGCCATAGGCACCACAATCTCTGTGCAGCGTCCCTCTCTGCTGGGATCCTCTGAGGTCAGCCCTGTGAGGCCTTTGCGTTTCCCCCAGTGCTGACAGCCTGGAGGCTGAGATGGCCGGAAACAAGGTGGTGACAGTGGCGTGCTCAGGGCTGGGGTGGGGAAACCCCAAGGAGCTAAAGGCAGCCCTGGGCAACCCAAGACGACAGGAAGGCTTCTGAGGAGAGACCTCTGCGGTGGGTCGAGGAGAGGAAGGACTTAGGGAGGCAGAGTGAAGGAAGTAAGAGGACACCCCAAGCCGAGAGGGCGGCAGGACCAAAGGCTCAGAAGCCAGCTAAGGAGGGGCTCTGTGCCCCGGGGTGAAGTTTGCACGGCAGGAGGGCAGGGGGGCCTGGATCGGGAAGACAGCTGCTCTTTTCCCCCAGCGTGGCCCCTGTACATCCCTGGAGAGCTGGGGCGTCTGCAACTCCAAGTCATAGCCTCCATCCTAACCCTGCTGCTGTGGTGAGGGTGAGCTGTCTGTGGAGGGGAAGGCTCTTGCAGGAATGAGCCTGGTGGAGAAGGGACAATGGCGTCCCAGGCCGAGGAACAGCACAGGCAGAGACCTGGGGTGAGTTTAAGGAGTGTAGGGGAGGAAATGGCAGAAGATGACCCAGAAAAAGAGTTTAGGGCATGTCCTGGAGGACGTGAGTGGCTGTTTGGGCTTTAACTAGCAGTGGCAGAGCCCTGGGAGGCTTGTGGCTTAAATGGGTACTTTAGAAAGCCCACTAGCAGCTGCTTTGGGCTTTTAGCCCACCCCCACTTGCCAGGCCCTGTCCTAGGCCAGGAAATACAAAAGTGAGCAGGAAAAGACTCCCTCTCAAGGCTTACGTCCTAGCGGGAAGAGACAAGAACCACACAGATGTGCAGTATAACATGCTGTCCAGTTCCAGTAAGTCCAGTAAAGAGCAAGTGGGGCCGGGTGCAGGGAGTGAGGGGGCGGGCTCCTTTATAAGGGGAGGTTGGGGAGGCCTGTCTCAGAGGACAGCAGGATGGAGCTCAGGAGCAGGGCTTGGCAGTCACAAGGCAGGCCGTCCAGGCAGAGGGAGCTGTGCAGGGCAGGAGTGTGTTTGCTGTGTCCTGGGACAGCCCTGAGGCCGTGGCGTGGCTGGAGTGCTGCAGGTGCTGGGGAAACAGTAGATGTCTCCTGAGTGTGACGGGATATAAACAGATTCCAGAAGGGACTGACATGATCTGACTTAAAAAGGTTAGAGTGGGGTCGGTGTGCGAAACGGCCTATGGGGGACAGGAGTGGGAGGTGGGGGACAGGAGACAGTGTGCACCAGGACAGCAGAAAGACATCCGCGTAGCCTGGAACAGGGAGTCGGTGTAGAGATGGTGGCAGTGCGATAAGAGCCGTAGGGCAAGGCCAGCGGGATCCAAGAGTGAGACTGGAGGTAAAGTCACTGGGACTTAGTGCCTCCACATCAGGGGCAGGGGAGAGGGAGAGGAGGGGCGACCCTGGAGGTAAAAGATGGGACCGGGGCTGGGTGCTGTGGCTCATGCCTGTAATCCCAGCACCGTGAGAGTCTGAGGAGGGTGGATAGCTTGAGGTTCAGGAGTTCGAGACCAGCCTGGCCAACATGGTGAAACCCCTTCTCTACTAAAAAACACAAAAATTAGCCTGGTGTGGTGGTGCACGCCTGTAGTCCCAGCTACTCAGGAGGCTGAGGCACAAGAATCGCTTGAACCCGGGAGGCGGAAGTTGCAGTGAGCCGAGATTGTGCCACTGCACTCCAGCCTGGGCGACAGAGCAAGACCGTCTCAAAAAAAAAAAAAAAAGATGGGACCGGGAACAGGTTTCAGGGAGGGAGACTCCTGCGCCTTGACCCACAAAGACCAGCTTTTCCTCACGGAGTGAAGGGCAGACCGAGGTCCCGGCATGGGTGGGGCTGCCAGGTGGAGGCCGATTTCCGCCTGCCTAGGCTGGACACCCGGATGTCCCGCGCCCTTTCCTCCTCCGCCCTTTCTTTCTTAGCCAGGAGGCAGGAGCTGTGGTTCGGAGCTTGGCCGCTGGATGGCAGCACAGAGCCAGGCTCCTGTCTCGGGACTTCTGGGGAAGGAGCGTGGCCTGCAGGGAGGACTCGGGGCCGGGTAAGGGATCTCCCGCAGGACTACGGTTTCCCTGTCAGGGCTGGCTGTGCATCTAGTGGGCAAGGTCCTGGGGTCGACTCCCAGTTCTGTCCCGGTAACTCTGGGGTCCCAGGAAGCAGAGGTGGGGTACAGACTCCTTTCTGGCATTGGCTTTGGTATTAAGCGAGGTGCTGGATGTAAAGTGCCTGGCACACCAGCGAGGCAGTTCTACCAGGGTGGCCCGAGCTGAGCCGGCCCCAGACCCTGCTCACGGTTCTGGCTCAGGCCTCTTTTCACAGCCCGTGCTTCATCCTCCTGTTGACAATCCACACATATCCTGCTGCCTCCTGGCTTTGCTCAGGCTCTTCCCCGTGGCTGGAAGGCCCTTTCCGGGGCCTCAGGGAATTTCCCCATGGTCCTTCAGGGGCCCACTCTGAAGCTGTTGCTTCCCGGAAGCCTCAAGTGCGCCCCTGTTCTTGTGTGTCTGCCTGTCCTGCCCATTACTAGCTGCATGGGTTCCTCTTGTCACTGCTTCAAGTGCAGAAGAGCGTGGATGCTTTGACGTGGGTTGTCCTGGATTCAGGTCTTCAAGATGCTTCAGCTTCTCACCTCCATTTCTCCCCTGGGGCTTCGAGAAAGCTTGAGCCCCTGTGCTGGGCCACTTGAGGTCCACCTGCAGATTCCAGCCAGGCTGGGGCTGGAGGGAGGGCTGCTCACACCTGGCTGTTGCTCTGTCTCTTAATAGGCCACCTACATCTACATGAAGGCCGCCTACCTCAGCATGTTTGGGAAGGAGGACTACAAGCCCTTTGGGGACAACGAAGTGGAATTATTTAGGTGGGTCCCACCATCGTGCGCCCACCGTGTAGGCCTCTGCTATGGGCAGACCACCAGGCCACCCTGAACTGTGGGCATTGGGGAGGGGGCAGCTCCCTGTCCCCACCCCAGGACCGCCCCACCTGCATGTCCTCCCATCACCACCCCTGGCTGCTGCTGCTGCTGGTTGGAGCCATCCGAATTTCTTCAGAGCCTTCTTTCACAAAAGTGGTTTCGTCAACATCATCTCCCTCTGAACCTCTTTCATCTGGGCATTAGGACAGATGTGGCCACCAAGGTCCAGGGAGGGAAGGTCCTTCACTCTGCTGAGTTAACCTGAGACACTCAGAGAAGCACAGCCAAGAGCTGAGAGTCGGAATCAAACAAACAGGAGTAAACCCAGCCTCTGCTCATTCTTAGCTGTGTCACCTTGGACAACTTCAGCATCTGCAAAATGGGAATAACAACCTCCACCTCGAAGCACTGTTTTGCAAATCAACTAGATAATAAATGTAAAGAGCCTGGCAGAGAACTGGGAGCCTAGAAGCTGCCCACTAAGTGCTGGCTGTTTTCATTCTTACCTGTATCACCGTATTTGCTTCCTGTGAAGCATCTTTAGGGCAGAGCTCAGCCTTGGCAGGTGAAGGATGGAGCTTAGCACCTTCCACCAGTCGTGGTGAGGTTGAGCCCAATTTGCAGACCTGGAAATGGGTATAATATGAGCCTCCTATGCTACTGGTGTCACAGTAATAGGGCATTTATCACTTCCAGAGTGTCTGCTGCTACAGCAGACTCCATGTCCCCCTCTCAGATGACTTCCAGAGAGCCCAGGAGGGCAGATGTCATTACCTCCATTTTAGAGGTGAGGAAATTGAGGCTCCGAGAGTTTCTACAGTGAATAAGCAAGAGTTTGTGGATGTGGGAACCTCACACCCACATCCAGCTGTTTCCTGAGCCTAAATGGCTCCAGCCTGAGGTTACAGCCACACCCAGTGACTGTGGCAGAAACAGGAGGAGGGTGGGATGGAGCTGGGTGGGTGAGGCCCCAGATGTGGAGGTGTGCCTGGCTGCATACCACATTTTTCTCTGCCCTTGGAAACAGCTGAGAAGGCCAGAACTTGAGAGGCAAGAGTTAATTAAGGGTTTGAGCTGTTTAGTCTTGTGTAGGTCCCACCCTTTCTCTGGGTGTTGGTCTCTCCTGTGATATTGGGATTAGACTTCTCTTGGGTCGTCCCCGGAAATGGGTCCTGGGAGTGGAGGAGATAACTAGGAGGCAGGGCCCGTACCGGGATGTTTGGCACACTCTCACCTCTGCCAGCTGGCGGGGAGGAGCCCCTTGTCCAGCCATAGGAAGTGGCCAGGTCTTGGAGCAGGGTCTCTAAAATAAGACCATAGCTGCAGGCTGTTTCAGACCTAGAAGGCTCTTTGGAGTCCAACACTGTCATCATACAGATGGGGAAACTGAGGCCCAGAGAGGGGCCAAGCGTGGCTGGGTAGGCTGGAGACCCTCTGCCCTTTCCGCTCTTTCTCATCCTCTCCCACCCTCCCCATCTCTTTCGCAGAGCTGTGCCAGGTCTGAAGCTCAAGATTGCTGGGAAATCTCTACCCACAGAGAAGTTTGCCATCCGGAAGTCCCGGCGCTACCTCTCCTCCAACCCCATCCCGCTGCCAGTGCCTGCTCTGGTGGGTAGGAGGTCTGGACTGGCGCTGACCTCCGGGTATAGGATTGTGGGGATTCGTTGAGAGCCACAGCCAGGGGGAAGTGGTGAGGAGAAAGACATTCATGCCTCAGGGGCCTGGGGAGGGTTTCACAATTCACCTGGGACCTAGCAGGAGGTGCTCAGATGAGTCTGGCCCAGCCCCTGCCCCTTAGAAAGTGATGGTCCACTGGGGCTGGGGGTGGAGAGACAGGCAGGCAGGCAGGCTGCAGATATCGAGAGGCAGAGAGGGCCGCCCTCCTAGACAGACAGCCCCATGTCCCTGCGCCCCAGGCAGAGCATCCCCCGGCTGCATGTGTTCCCAGCCTGTCTGCTCCAGTCTTGTCACAATGATTATAATTGTTTTCACCATCCCCCCTCACTCGACCAACTTTTTCACTTTATATGCAACTGTAAACTCACATAATAGCCTACATTGTTACCAAGCACTTGCTCTATTCAAGGCTGCCCACACCCATTGCCTATTGCCTCATTTGAGCCTCACATCACCCCTCTGAGTAGGCGCTGCTGGTATCTCCATTTTATAGATGGGGGTAACAAGGCCTGATAAATCAGTAGGAAGATCAAATAACTTGCCCAGGTCACAAAGCTGGTGAGCTGGAGTCAGAATTTGAACTCAGCGGTCTGGGCCCACAGCCCATGTTCTGAGCCATGGTTGTGATGCTAATTCTATGCATGATTTGAGCAGGTGTCAGATAAAGTTCCAGCTTGGTAAGAGTCCTTGTTATTCAAGTAGTAAGGGAGCTGGAAAGGTAGAAGGAAGCCTGCTTGAGAGACCTTTTTCTGGTCCTGGCTGTACTGTTCATTAACTGAGTAGCTTTAGGTCTGTTCCCTCTTCTCCTTATGTAAAATGATTATAACAATAGATTCCTTTCCCATTTCTTTCTTTTTTTGTTTTTGAAACTGAGTCGCACTCTGTCACCCAGGCTTGAGTGCAGTGGCATGATCCTGGCTTACAGCAACCTCTGCCTCCTGGGTTAAGCAATTCTCCTGCCTCAGCCTCCTGAGTAGTAGCTGGGATTACAGGCACCAGCCACCACAACCAGCTAATTTTTTGTATTTTTTTTTTTTTTTTGGTAGAGATAGGGTTTCTTCATGTTGGTCAGGCTGGTCTCAAACTCCCGACCTCAGGAGATCCACCCACATTGGCCTCCCAAAGTGCTGGGATCACAGGCATGAGCCACCACGCCGGCCTCCTTTCCCATTTCACAGAGCAGTTATGAGCATCAACGAAGAAAATGTGTTAAACACTGTATAAATTGAAAAGGTTAATCTTTATAGTTTGTTTTAGCACTTACAACCTGAGCATTTCTAAAGTTTAAAAATATTTTGTAGTTGGCTGGGTGTAGTGACTCACACCTGTAATCCCAGCACTTTGGGAGGCCGAGGCAGGTGGATCATGAGGTCAGGAGTTCAAGACCAGCCTGGCCAAGATGGTGAAACCCCGTCTCTACTAAAACTACAAAAATTAGCCTGTTGTGGCAGGTGCCTGTGATCCCAGCTGCTTGGGAGGCTGAGAATCCCTTCAACCCGGGCGGCGAAGATTGCAGTGAGCCAAGATCGTGCCACTGTACTCCAGCCAGGGCAACAGAGTGAGACTCTGTCCCCACCCCCCAAAAAAAAAATTTTTGTAGTTTAAAATATACAGTAAAGCTATTACTATCAAATAGAGCAGGAGGATATTGTAGGAAGGGCAAGAAAAGCAACTGTACCAAAAACTTAGGAGAGAATTTCCCAAACTGTAATCTGCAAAATACTGTTTATGCATTAAATGATTTCTGCGATTAAATACATTTGGGAAAGACTGGCCTAAACACAGTTTATATACTGTAGACTTTCTTGGAGTCTTTATATATTAATCTAAAGGGAAGCTTAAAGATACGGTTATTCTCTAATGTATTTGACCACATAATCATTTTTAGTTTTAATTTGTATTTATTTTGGGAGCAGGGGAGAATCCTTTTTTAAAATGAAACATTTGCTGGCCGGGTATGGTGGCTCATGCCTGTAATCCCAGAACTTTGGGAGGCTAAGGTAGGTGGATCACTTGAGACCAGGAGTTCAAGACCAGCCTGGCCAACATGGCAAAACTCCATCTTTACAAAAAATTCAAAAATGAGTGGGGCATGGTGTCGTGCATCTGTAATCTCAGCTCCTTGAGAGGCTGAGGTAGGAGGATTGCTTGAGCCCAGGAGGTCAAGGCTGCAGTGAGCTGTGACAGTGCCACTGTGCTCCAGCCTGGGTGACAAAGTGAGACCCTGTCTCTAAAATGAAATAAAATGAAATGAAACATTTGCCATCTTGGGACCACAGAACAATTTGATAAATATTGGTCTAAACTGAAATTCCCTTCCTAGAACAAGAACCACAACAATAATGTTTTTCTAGAACTTTCTGACTACAAAGTGTTTTCACATCCATTACCTGGTTTAATAGTTTAAGAAATGCTAAATACAGCTACTATGAATGAAAGTTTAATTTAGTTTTCTTCTTGTTTTATTTATTTTTAAATCTTTATTTTAGAGGTGAGGTCTCACTCTGTCATCCAGGCTGGAGTGCAGTGGTGCTATCATAGCTCACTGCAGCCTCAAACTCCTGGGCTCAAAGGATCTTCTCATTTCAGCCTCCTGATTACAGGGTGCACCACCATGCTCAGCTACTATTTTTTTTTTTTTTTTTTGTAGAGATGGTGTCTCACTGTGTTGCCCAAGCTGGTGTTGAACTCCTGGGCTTAAGAGATCCTCTCAATTCAGCCTCCCAAACTGCTGGGATTGCAGGCATGAGCCACTGCATTCAGCCTAATTTAGTATTCTGAGCTTCCTGGCAGTCGAGGCAAAAGCAAACAAACAAAAAGGAACCAGTAGCCTGACAAGGACGAGGTGAAAAGAAAAGGATTTTTTTTTTCTTCGAGGCAAGTCTCACTCTTGTCACCCAGAGTGGAAAGCAGTGGGGTGATCATAGCTCACTGCATCCTAGATTTCTTGGGCTCCAGCGATCCTCCCACCTCAGCCTCCCAAAGAACTGGGACCCCAGACTTGCACCACAATGCCTGGCTAATTTTTTTTTTTTTTTTCGGTAGAGACAGGGTTTCACCATGTTGCCCAGACTTGTCTCAAACTCCTAAGCTCAAGTGATCATGATTCACCTGCCTCAGCCTCACAAAGTGCTGGGGTTACAGGCTTGAGCCACCATGCCTGGCCCCAAGATTTTGTGAGTTTTTTTTGGGGGGATGGAGTCTCTTTTTGTCACCCAGGCCGGAGTGCAGTGGCGCCATCTGGGCTCACGGCAACCTTTGCCTGCTGGATTCAAGCGATTCTCCTGTCTCAGCCTCCTGAGTAACTGGCATTACAGGTGTGTGCCACCACTCCTAGCTAATTTTTGTATTTTTATTTTATTTATTTATTTTGAGATGGAGTTTTGCTCTTATTGCCCTGGCTGGAGTGCAATGGCGCAATCTGGGCTCATCACAAACTCCACCTGCCAGGTTCAAGCGATCCTCCTCCCTCAGCCTCCTGAGTAGCTGGGATTACACGCATGTGCCACCATGCTGGCTAATTTTGTATTTTTAGTAGAGATGGGGTTTCTCCATTTTGGTCAGGCTGGTCTCGAACTCCTGACCTCAAGTGATCCACCTGTCTTGGCCTCCCAAATAATTTTTGTATTTTTAGTAGAGATGGGGTTTCATCGTGTTGGCCAGGCTGGTCTCGAACTCCTGACTTCAGGTGATCTGCTCACCTTAGCCTCCCAAAGTGCTGGGATTACAGGTGTGAGCCACTGCGCCTGGCCCCCTACATTTTTTTTAATTAAAAAAAAAAAGAATCTAAGAAAGAAAAAGGAATCAGATGTATTTTAAGAGTCTTATGATGGTAACTTAGTTCTAAAGGAAATGGAATGTGAGCGTCATTATTTAGCCCATTGCATTGGGAGAATAAGAGTAAAAGAAGGTGACACATCCTCAAATTCTGTTATCCTGAAGTGCATGTGTGGAGTATGGCCTAGTCCTCAAAGGACAGAAAGAGTTTGGCCCCAGAGAGTTTGGGAGAGAGGACATAATAGCACTCAGGGAGGGCATGAGCAGAAAAGTAGCTGGAAAACTCCAGCAGTTATGAGCAGCACAGTGTGGACATTGGTCCATCTTACACCCTCACTGGGGTAAGGTGAGATCTCAGTAATAAATCAACAATAAGGCCCCCATAAGCCCACCTGGCCCACAGCTTCACAGGCTGACTGAGACCTGTCATGGAAGATTAGAGTTAGAAGGCCTTTAGTAGACCTCTGATCTGAACTGTCCATTTTGTAGATGGGAAAACTGAGGCCCCATTAGGGAAGAAACCTAAGACTGACTTGCCCTCCTGCCTTCAGGAAATGATGTACATCTGGAACGGCTACGCTGTGATTGGGAAGCAGCCGAAACTCACGGATGGGATACTTGAGATTATCACCAAGGCTGAAGAGATGCTGGAGAAAGGTCCAGGTAACTTCCCAAAGGCCCTTGAGGCTCCCAGGCTAGGTCAGGTCTTTACAGCTGAAGGTTCCCTCTGCCAAAAATCTCCTTCCTCCTTTCCCTTCCCTGGGAACTCTCCTTTATCTCTGTAGACTGAGCTCCTCCAAGCAGCTGTCCCTTGTCCCCTTGGTAGGGTCAAAACCTCTAGGCTCCCATAGCCATGGGGCTTCCTTCAGTCCTGACCTCTCTGTATTGTCATTGTCAGTATCTGTCTTTCCTTCTCAGATATGACCCCTCCCCCCAGAACAGGGACCATGTCTGATTTACCTGTGTTCCCTGGGCCTAGCACAGAGTAGGGGGCTCTGTAAGTAACTGCTGCAGAAGTAAACAAGCCTGTCTTTTTCCCTCACATCCCTATTTTCAGAGAACGAGTACTCAGTGGATGACGAGTGCTTGGTGAAATTGTTGAAAGGCCTGTGTCTGAAATACCTAGGCCGTGTCCAGGAGGCCGAGGAGAATTTTAGGAGCATCTCTGCCAGTTAAGTGCCTCTTCAGCTGCTCCTGCTGAGTCTCCTGGGTAGAATTTTCAAAGGGGTCTCCATCCCCATGCCCACTGCAGTGACTGACCCTAGCCAATCCCCACTTACTACACAGGTACTAGACTAGTGTCCACTCTGTGCCAGGACTTGTGCCAGGACCTGTACAGATAATTGAGACCTAGCCTCCCAGTGCCACCAAATTGCCTGACTACAGGAGCCCACCCACGTTGTTTCGAGTGAACACTGTCCCCTGGAGTTTGTAATTCAGCGACTCTGTCCTTGCCCTCAGGGAGGGCAATGTGACAAATGGCAAGCTGTAGGCAACCCAACAAAGGCTCATCAGGGCCACACTAGAGGAAAGCACAGAGGACAGCAGGTGCCCCGAGGAGGAACCTAAACATAATGGGAGATACCAGGAAAGGCTTTCCAAGGCTGACGTTTAAAGTGGGAAGTTCATCAGGCAGAGAAAGCAAGGGAGGACAGGTTCAAAGTGGAGTAGGTACAGCACGCACCAGTGCATGGACATAGGAAAGATGCCTGAGGCTGGGCTGATGGCAATGAGGTCTTTACCTGCCTGGGTGAAATCGTAGAAAGGATTGAAAATGAAATAAGGAGGGATAGACTGAGAAGGGCCTGGATGTTTTGTTCACAAGGCTAAATTGTATCCCAAAGAAGAGAGCCAGAAAGGGGACCAGGCAAGGAAGACTTTGGGTTTAAAAGGATACCTCCGGAGCAGCATGGAGGTCAGGTCAGAGGGGGCAGGTCAGAGACAGGAGAATTTCCAGTTTAATAAACCATTCATCCTGGAGAATGGGAGGTTGGGACTTAGGTGGCAGTGGACTAAGCACATGACAGGAGCCCTAGGTTGTCAGGGAGCTGGAGCCCAGTGTACAGGATGGGAAGCCTTTGCTGTGGATCCCAGCCTTTCTAGGGCTTGGTAGTGGGAACCTCCCAACATTGGACTTGAGGTTAGGAAATCCTCACATGCAGTTTGGGAAAGGCTCAGGAGGAGGAACTGAGCCATGTCTTCTGTTCTGCAGTGAAAAGAAGATTAAATATGACCACTACTTGATCCCAAATGCCCTGCTGGAGCTGGCCCTGCTGTTTATGGAGCAAGGCAGAAATGAAGAGGCCATCAAACTCTTGGAATCTGCAAAGTAAGGCTTGGGTAACCTCGATCTGTCCTTTGCTCCCTCTGAACTTAGCTCAGAAGCTGGCTGGGGGCAGAGTTGCCCAGGCAGCCGTGAGTCGAGTTGCTAGCAAGGTCAGCCTGGCAGTCTAGAGGGTGGACTATGTCCCTCAGAATCCAGCTCTCACTGTCATAGGAAGGCATCTTTCTCAATGTATGAATGGACAGTTAAGACTCCCAGAGGCAGGAAGTAAGTTCCCAGGGTCACACCAGAAGCCAGCTGCACGGCTGTGTGAGGACTCACACCTCCTGCCTCCCAGGGTAAGGGTCTATTCCCTAAAACCACCCCTTCAGGCTTATGAAGCCAGGAGGACCAAGAGTGGTTCCAGTGGGCATGATACCAGGGGTAAGGGGTCACAAATCCTACTGGTTAATTCTCCCATTGGGCAGGGCTCAACTTTCTCTGGACACAGACAGGAATTTCTCTACAATTCTTCCTTGGCTGGTGGGGCTCACACAGCTCAAACAGGAGAAAAAGCTTCTCTGGGAGCAAGCAGCCTCATGTGTCTGATTCTCTGCTCAATTCCAGGCAAAACTACAAGAATTACTCCATGGAGTCAAGGACACATTTTCGAATCCAGGCAGCCACACTCCAAGCCAAGTCTTCCCTAGAGAACAGCCGCAGATCCATGGTCTCATCAGTGTCCTTGTAGCTTTGTGCAGCAGTTCCGGGCTGGAAGACAAACAGAGACAGCTGGACAGAGCTCCTGGAAACATTTCAAAAGATCCTCTCCCCCTGCCCTGCCCTGCCCTGCCTTTGGGGTCCACTGGCACCCCAGTTGGATGGCATGACATGGGTATCTGTGCAGAAGCCAAGCTGGCATTTTCACCAGTGTGGCCAAGGGCTTTTGCCAAGGACAGAGCAGGTAGAGCCCTCTGCTTGCCCTATCACACATACGGGTACTTGCTTTTCACTGTGATGTTTAAGAGAATGTATGAACAGTTTACATTTTCCTTAGAAATATATGGATGGGATCACAGTTAGCTTTAAAAACCAACAACAACCAACCACCTGCAAGTCTTTGTTTTCACCTATTATGATCTGGAGGTAAATCTCTTTATATGATGCCAAAGGGCAAATTGCTTTTCAAATTCAGCAAGTTCTCAGCTTGTGTGACTGAAGGGCCTTCACAGGACCTGAGAAATGCCTGGGAGAGGCTAAGCCTCAGGTTTTAATGCTCCTGGGGCTGGGCATGAGGATGCACACCGACACCCACTACCTTCCTACTCACACTTCATTTCACTCCTTTTGTAAATTTCCAATTTAAAAATCAGCACGTCTTTTTAGTGAGATAAAATCTGAGCTCTTCTGTAGAAAAATCAGTCTCCACCAGTAGGAAATACCAGGGCTTGATGGAAGAGCTGTGTGGCCTTTTCTGTGCCAAAGGCAGGAAGTTGGGGGGCAGGAGGAGGTTCTCAGAAGCCAGTCTGTATCTTTGCTGTATGTCAAACTGAAACCACTGGGACTAATTTATGAAACTTAAAAGTCTTCTGTACTTCACTCCAAAGTCATTTACTTACTGACAACATTTTTCTTAGAACTGATATTCTTGACCTGTTGTGTATGTATTAGATTCTTCGGTTAAGAGAAAAGAGATATTAAAGTGATAAAATGTATGCCCTTAAGGGATCATGCAACATATATTTCAATAAAATATGTGTTGCTTGAATCCTTAGGTCAGGCAGAAAGTCTTGATCGGAAGCCACATGGCCTATGTTTGTTTTATTTAGACCACACATGTTTTAAACTCTTTGAATAAGTTACCAGCATTCACAAATGGGGAGATTTCACAAATGAATCTGTTTCCTGGCCTGTAATTAAAAAAAAAAAAATCTGGCAACACTAAGCCTCATTCCCACAAGGCAACAATCAGCCAGAGCTAACTCGAAGCTACTTTAAACACTTGTTACCTTTCTGACCCCTGAAAGCATCTGAATTTGTGATCTCTGGGACTGTTGAGAACTCAGCTTCAATGACCAACACCAGGTTTTACCCTTCACTTTTTTTTTTTTTTTTTGGAAGGGAAATTTGTATTATTTTAAAGAAAACAAGTGTACATTTAACCCAGTTTAGTGTCAAGTTCTTTAGCCTTTGCTTTTTTGAGCTTGGCGATGCAAGTCACAGACTTGGGACCCAGGACATTGCCTTCACAGTGATGGCAGATCTCATCGTCTCTGTTGTAATTGGCCGATAGCTTCCACTAGCTTAGCCGAAGTGCCGTTGTCTTCCAAGTTAACCAGTGTGAAGGCAACCAGCAGCGCAGGCATTCCTGTGGACTAGACGTCCTAGTCTCGCCTTTCCCTTGATAATGCAGTAAGGGACACCCATTTTATGACACGGGGCAGGCAAGAAGACAACCAGCTGGAAGGAAGCATTAGCTGAAGAGTGTATTTTGACCAAAAGCAGTAAATTTCAAAGCTAGCTTGGTAGCAACTGCTCAGTGTTAAAAAGCTCATGGATTTGCACTTCAAGGTTGAATTCAATAAGAGATTCACATCATTCTAACAGCCTTCACTTTCTAATGTCAGCACATTTCAACCTAACCATTTCCCTGTAGGGAAAATCATGCACACAGTAAAAATATTCATCTGTGAATATGTTACTCCCCAAATGCATGAATGAAATTTCTGCAAGAGAAGAACCAGTTAAATTTTCCAGTCTTACAGCATTGCTGTATTTAACAAACATGAGTATCTGCCAAGGGGCTCAGTTAATATATTAAGATCCAGTTGACCAGCCTCCTATTGGTGGTATTAAATGAAGTCACGGATTTTAGGCAAAATATATTCTCATTAGGAAAAACAAAACAAACCAAACAACCCTCATCCAAGATCATCTTTTGCAATGGGTATTGTTGGAGTAGAAATGCTATGAAAAAAATATCATTTTGTTAGGACGAAACAAAAGAATGTCCTCCGTAGACAGCAATCCCTTTGCAAGCTATTTCTTCTCCAAAGCCTGGATGCTGGGAGACCAACCTGCTTCTAGGCCCCTGGGCAGGACAGGGTGAGGGGGTAAAGGGAAGCAGGTAGACAGGCTGCAGGAGGGCGGGCCTGCATGGCTCCCCCAGGCTGGAATGCTGCCTGCTGCTGTATCAAAGCAGCACTGGCTGGTCACAGGACCACACATATACTTTGGAAAATTGCAGTTTACAAAAAAAAAAACTTTATCTCAACATTCATTTTTGGTGCTTTCATTTTAAAATTTTGTCAAGATGATTTCCTCGTCAACATTTGCTGTTGTTGATTTCTCGCTAGGCTTCATTAATTAATCCGATGTCACTTTTACCTCTGCTGCTTGATAAGATAAATCAGTGGGTTTTGCCTCCTGTATCCCCCTGCAAATTCCGAGATAATCTGTCAAAGAAAAATGTATGTGAAAGACAATGAAAACATCGGGTTTCTAACATCACCATATCCTTATGCAAAGTCCTTAGAAAGTGAAAATTCTGTCACAGGCTCTCAATGTCTTATTTGAGTAATTGTGGTCACCGGTTCTCTAATAGTGCAGATGTTCCCAGCACATCTGCTGTGGAGAGGCTGCTGATCGGGTAGAGAGTTTGAGCCTGGAAATAAGGAGACCCGAATTCTAGTCCTGGCTTTGCGACTGATTTTCAGAGTACCCTTGGGAAAGTCACAGATCCTCTAAAAATTAGCAATTTGGACTAGGTTAAGGCTCTTTCCTGCCCTCTACAGTTTATGGGTTTTCATCTGCAAAATGAGGCAACAGATAAACCTCCCTACCTTTCTGCCAAAGCCTTGCATCCCTAAGCAATTCGACCAGAAACAATAGAGTTCCTTAGGGGCTCTACAGCACCCAGAACACCCAGAGAGCAAGTAATCCTCATTTAGAGAACGTCTAAATCCTGTGCCCCACATTTGAATTCAGTTGTTAGGGATGTAGCAACTGTGTAACATGATCTGAACAGGCCCTTGGCAACAGAAAGTCTACCTCAGCCTCTCACGGATCACAGGCCCTCAGACTGGCAGAGTGGCTTCTAGCAGTGTGCTGGGCCCTCTGCTCTCCCATGGGTTGGCAGGTTGCCCTATTCCTTATCTCTTGAGCCAGAATGGGAGTGTTTCCAAGACAGTTATCATTCACAGCAGAAAGCCACAACTTGACATCAAAGCCAGGATCCTAAAAAGTCAACACCAACTCGATTTGGCTGAGGTCCAGATGGGAGATTCCCAAGTGAAGAACGGCACCAAGAGGTTTTAAGAAAGCCCCAGTGCACTGAGTACTAGAACCATTCAAGGGAATCAAATCCAGACCCTTTCCTCTGGAGTTATTCCCAAGTTCATTTCTTCTAAGATGATGGGAGTCAACAGTCTTTTCCATGTTTGCTTCAAATTTAAAGCCTAACAGTGCCTTCTCAATGTCTTTAGCATCATCACACTAATTCAGTAATAAATGAGAGGTGTCTGGATTCTGAAACCCAAGCAGCAAACCAGAACTTCTCACGCCTACTCTCAGATGCAGCCCTTCCAAGGTCAGAAAGTGCCTTTCTGCTTGGATTAGCACAATTCCTTTGAATTCCAGTGCAAAGTTCATTACTGATCAATAGGCTAGGTCCACAAACAAAAAGCCTCATTTGGGGGCTTAAAAAAAATCAATTTCTAAATGAGTAATCTATGGCTGCTTCCACTATATAAAGTCAACTGTTAAGTGACAAAGTAAGAGTAGAGCCCTTTGAGGAGACATAGAATTAACCACTGAAGGTCTCTATGGACTGTTAAAAGTTGACGTTTAAGTTTAATCAGAGACATCACAACTATTGTCTCACAAATGACTAGATAAGTTTTTTTTTTTTCCCCTCCACATGAATACTTCAGAACATCAGACACCATATGCTCTGGGGAAAAGAATAAAAAGCTAATATTTATTAAATATTCATTATGTGCCAGTTGCTATGCTAAGCACTTTACACTTAGGTAATGCTCATAACATCCTATACCTGATAGGATTACATGCTCATAACATGTAATCCTATTAAGTGGGGCTGTTGTCATTTTGCAGATGGCAAAACTGAGGCACAGGTAAATAAGTTGCCTAAGATCACACAACCATTATGCAGCAGAAAGATTTGAAGACAGGCTGCTGAACTCTAAAGCCCGTACTTTGCTGCACTGTTGGTCAAGCTGTAAAATTATGTGTAAAGTTAGACCCAGCTTATACTGACTCTTGGGCCACTGTAAAAATGAAAGAAGCAGTAGCTCATCACTCAGCCACTGGAAATGCTTGGCTGTGAACACATGGAGCACGTCTGTGTGCCATGGATCTCTCTGGCACTGGGCATCATGAGGTAGGGAGAGGGTCTGACTTGGAAAAAGCAAAAAGAAAAGCAATCCTTATTTTGCAGTAAAACAGTATTTGCTCAGAAAATCATCAAGGGATGATGGAGGAAAAGGCATGATCCAGTCCCCACTTGGATAGGTAGTTCCAGTACACCACTCCAGAGATGGGAAGTGAAGCCTGCACTGAGGCTTGACGCGTGCCAAGTCATATGCCAGAAGGGGTTTGGTATATGACAATAAGGGAGAGGACCACTGGCAAACTGGGAAGCATGTGACACCAAAGGCACTCAAAAACTGTTAGTTTAAACACTTATGAGTGCTTGGCTAAGCACATCACATTTGGGGATCAAAGTGACCCATGGGCCACAGCTTTGTCGCTCTTGGTCCTGAGTTGACTTCCTACAGTTCTCTGAAAAAGAGGTTGTGAGCAAATTCACAGTATGAAAAAGCCTGGTTTACTAAAAATACCCAGCTCTTAAGTTCAGTTAATTAATGGGGTGGTGGGTAAAAACACAATATATTCAACTTAGTCAAACTACTTCACCCCATTTGGGTAATCAGTTTACTTTAGGCAAGATGGGCTTTAATGCCAACTGCTTCACAAGGGTTGCTGAGGATAAAGAGCAAGCACGTAAACAGCCTGGCACGGCCCCTAGTGTACAGTATTAAGGTGAATTTATTGGCTCACTTCTACTGTGCGAAGACAGTGGTGGATTTGGCCTGAGGGATGACTGAATCCGGGCACCAGTGCCACCGTTAAGCTTTCTCCATCTCTTGGCTTTTGCTCCTATGTTAGATTCTCTTGATCTGTCTTCTCTGAATGGCAGGAGTACATGGCACTTTAGGTCTCATGCCTTACAGCATATGGCCAGTGAAGCAAAGGGCTGCTTTTCCTAATTCCAGTATGAACAATACCAGATAAAGACAATTAGTCTGGCTTGGCTCAAATTCCATCTCTTAGGCAAGTGGTTCTCAAAGAGTGGTCCTTGATCAGCAGCTTTAGCATCCCCTGGGAACTTGTTAGATATACAGATTCTCAGATCCCACCTTGACCTAAAAACTGTAGGTTTGAGACACAGCCTCCCTCTGTTGTCCAGGCTGGATTGCAGTGACACAGTCTTGGCTCACTGCAACCTCCACCTCCCAAGTTCAAGCAATTCTCCTGTCTCAGCTTCTGGAGTAGCTGGGATTACAGGCGCCTGCCACCATGCTCAGCTAATTTTGTATTTTTAGCAAAGATGTGGTTTCACTATGTTGGTCAGGTCTCAAACTCCTGACCTCAGGTGATCCTGAGATGACATGAGCCACCATGCCCGGCCACAGTCTGAGTTTTGAAAGACCGGTAGATGGCTGGGTACAGTGGCTCATGCTTGTAATCTCAGCACTTTGGGAGGCTGAGTTGGACGGATCACCTGAGGTCAGGAGTTTGAGACTAGCCTGGCCAACATGATGAAACCCCATCTCTACTAAAAATACAAAAATTAGCCAGGTGTGGTGGCGGGTGCCTGTAATCCCAGCTACTCGGGAGGCTGAGGCATGAGAATTGCTTGAGTCTGAGAGGCGGAGGTTGCAATGAGCCAAGATTGTGCCACTGCACTCCAGCCTGGGTGACAGAGGGAGACTGTGTCTCAAACAAACAAAGCAGACCTGCTGATGCACACTAAAGTTTAAGACCACTACCCTAGAATGGGAGTGGTGCCACAATTGGCCTACCTTCAGACATATGCTCAGTGAGTGTATTACTAAAAGGGAAGATGATGTATTGGACAAACA